TTTTAGTTAGAACTCGTAATGAAAAAACATTTAAAGTTAGACTTAAATGAACACATGTGAACACCAACCTCGCTCTCTCCAAAGCCTTCCAAAACCTATTATATATACACACCTCTCAAACCCTCTCCCTTTAACTATAAGCTTTTGCTTTCTTCCTTTATCTATTATCAACCTTCAGGAGAACTCTCTTCTTAATCTTTAACGATTCAAAGTAATTACTTGGATAACTAAGACCGGTTTTTATCGTGATCAAGTAGAGATGGGCGGTCCAGGATCATCGGCCATGTGCTTCATGTAAGCTCTCGACGACGCTGTGCAAAAGATTGCATCTTTGCACCTTATTTTCCTCCTGATGATCCTCACAAATTCGCCATTGTTCATAAGGTCTTCGGCGCAAGCAACGTTAGCAAAATGTTGCAGGTTCCATCTCGTTCCCAAATAATTTTCCCATAACTATATTCTATATTCTATTTTTTTCTTTAACAGAAAAAATATATTCTATATTTTGTTGCGTTGAAAGCTTTTAACATTCCTTGCATAAACTTTTAAAATTTGTTCCATCTCTCATCCAAAGCATTCACTAGTGTTATATGTTTGGTAAGATGTCAAACTTATTCGAATATGTGCATCCATGAAGTTTGATAACCTTTAGATACAAAATTAAATCCAACTACTTTGATTCGGTTTTATGTTAATTCTTTATGAAAATTTTATGAACTTATATGAATTATTAATCATAAAACTTCCTTGTATTCCCTATTACGCTAGCTATATGTAAAAAATGGTCACATGGTTGGTATAAATTGTCACAGGAGCTACCGGTTCATCAAAGAGCTGACGCGGTGAATAGTCTGGTTTTTGAAGCAAACGCACGAGTTAGAGATCCGGTATATGGCTGCGTAGGAGCAATCTCCTACTTACAGAACCAAGTCTCACAGCTTCAAATGCAACTAGCAGTGGCTCAAGCCGAAATTCTCTGCATCCAAATGCAACACGAGCCAACCTTACAGTCTCACCATCAAGTAATTGAACTAGACCAAGACCACAAAGCTCTCTTGCTACACAACAATAACAACAACACCATCAGTAACTGCAACAACAGCAACAATAACAACAACTTGGGTTATGCCATGTCTTCTGGGCAGTTCAACTCTAACTTTGCCTCTCCAAGCAGTATAATGCAAATGCAGATGCAAATGCAAATGCAAGACCCTCTTAAGCAAGAATCTCTTTGGACTTGACTTATGCCACATTGTTATAAATTAATCCTCGTTGTTTGAAAAAACTCAGTGAAGTCTCAAAAAGTTTGTTTCTTGGCTATGTTTAAAAAGAGAAGATGGGAACAAGTTTCGTGTAAGGAACGTAGTTTTAAGTCAAAAGCTTAAATGCATGCATGTGATGGTGATGAGATGTAGTTAGGAGCTTTAGAATTAGAGATCTGTTTTTTTTTTTCTTTTTCTTCTTAATTTGTTTTATCGCTTCTATATTTCTTTTCCCATCGTTTGAACAGTAAAAATTAGATCTATTCCAAACCCAATTTGATTTTCCTTTAAGTCTTAAAGAAACTGCTCTACCCACTGCGCTTTTTTTTTCTCAAAGAAACCGACTAAAAACTTTGTCGCGTTCAAACTAAGAAAAATTTACAATTAGTTTAAAGTTTAGACTCAAAATCTCAGATATCTAATATCTTTATAAAACTTATCTTAGTTTTAGTAAACAAAAACACCTTTGCTTTTTTTCTGAATTTAATAAATTTTCTTAGGATACTAATACCAGTAAAGTCAAACAAAAGCAATTTGTTGCTTTTTCTGGAATTAATTTTCTTATACCAAAAATAGACATTTTGTTTCTACTTGTGATAAACTGAAGTTGAAATCGAATAAAGAGAAATCAAGTGGAACGCTACTTTTCATTCGAAAAGAAAGGAAATCTACATGATTCAACCTTTACAATTTGACTCACTATAGATTTATTCCACCGACCTGATTTGATTAATCATAAGCTACACGTTAGAACATAAAGTCGCCTCTACTGTTGCTTTTGTACTAATTCATTTAGAAAAATAATCATATAAATTTTAAATCACAAAATTAAATTAGAAAAGAGGAGGAGGTGGTCTTGAATTTGATTATGTTATCTCCATTGCTAGTGTTCATGTGATCAGTAAAGGAAAAAAAATTCAAAATATTGCCTGTCGACATGGGAAAGAATCTTATGACTAATAATAATCGATCATGTTCTTTCAAAGTTTATTATTTTAATTCTTCACATACCCCTAACTTGTTTTTGACGATCGTACCAAGCCAGAGAACTTATAACTGTCTAATTCATATCATATTGGGATGACTCTAAACTTCGACTTTACGCGTAACACTTTTTAAAAACATTACTCTTTTTTTTTCTTTTGGATTGAAACTCTCTCTCTCTCTCTCTCTAGATTTTTTTTTACTTAAATCAATTATGTAGCAACTTAGACGCATGTAGACATCTGGTTAACTAAACGTAGAAGTGCATGTGGTCCATGCACGTGCGTAAATATTTTTTTTATGGCCATGTGTTCTCATATTTTTTTAATCTGCCAAACCTAAGTTAATTGAAAAGCAGAAAAAGAAGAGTCTCTAGATAAATTATTTGAAGATTACATACAACAGCAGAAGAAATTTAAGCTTTACACATAATCCAAAATTGTCGTTGATTAATATGTAGACTTCAACGAACATTCCGTTGGAGGGCTAACGAATTCAGGCTATGAAATTAAAAGAGTTGAAAACAAATTATAGCTTTCACATATACGATCTCCAAGCAGTACTTTTATGACAGAAGGATGTTAATAAAATAGCATATTGAACTATTGACAGAAGGATGATGTTAATAAAATAGCGTATTGTACTAATGACAGAATGTTTAATTAAATAGCGTGAGTGTTCTGTCTATCTAGGGGATGGCTTCTTCAGCCTGTCGCTCTACTTTGGCCGAACAGTTTGATATCAATCTGATGTCTATTAATACGCCCTTCTAAGATGCAGCTGCTCATTGCTATTGATAAGTGTCCTCTTATTTCTCTGTTGGCCACATCTAGCAATCTCTCCGATCTTATGCTTCTCTAGAATCATGGGCTCTAAATGTTTGGTTCAAAGAACGCCTAACCGCATGTGTAACTAGATCGAAGAGACAAGCTGAGATCATCTTTTTTTCGTTGTGAGACAAAGCGAGCGCCTTTGGGAACTAATGCTTCACCGGCTTGGATATGTCGCCTAATTCTATTTCACACATGGACAACCCTTCTTGTTTGGATTTTCATCTCATAGTAGGTCACCGTCACAAAATTCAAGGAGATCACTCAGATCAGCAACTAAAGTTTTAATATATAGTGTTTGGTAGGAACACAATTGCATGATTCACAATGGAGAATTTCAACATCGATCAAACCCTTTCTAATAATCTCTCTCTGGGTCTTCGAAGTTTAATTACGTACGGGGTGTCACGTACGTAATTAAAAGGCGATTCAAAGGCGATTCAAACCCTAGGGTTTCTGCGGAAGATTCTTACCCACGCAGGGCATGGCAGCGCCGGAGCAGGAGGTTCCACCGCCGGAGGGAGCTGCGTTGATATTGGAAGGGTGTTCTCAGGCAAGGGGGTCGACGTTGGAGGGAATCACCTCTGGCTCGGGGCAGGTTTTTGAGAAGATGATCGTTTCGGGAAAGGATTCTGAGGCTGGTGCGGGGCAGGATGTGGCTGTAGCTTCGGAGAAAGAGCTGGTTACAGGATCCGCAGATCAGAGCGCTCCCTTTGGGATTCGCTCTGGTGGCTCACCTAATGGTGTGATTGTTTCGGGTGTGGCTGATGAAGGTGTGCTAGGGTTACAAAAGAGCGGTCCTGGAGGTGATACCGAGGGTACTGGTGTGGTGGCAGTGGCAAAAGAGAAATCTTGGTCGTCTGTTGTTGCTGAAAAGGCTCGTATGCAAAAGTTTCCGGTCGTAGTTGAGGAAGTGAATGGCATCGAGACTATTCAAGTCTCAGATTGTGTCTTTGAGAATGCTCCACCCCTTTGGGAGGATTGCATCGTGGGGAAATTCGTCTCCAAAACTCCGCACGTTGGATATATTCATATGACAGTCAATAAAATCTAGACCTTGGGAGACAAGACAAAGAAAGTCGACGTGTTTGTTGTGGACGACACAACAGTAAAGTTTAAGATTCAAGATGCTTCAATGCGTGCGCGTGTCCTGCGAAGGGGAATGTGGAGCATCAAAAATGTTCCAATGATGGTGTCTAAATGGAGCCCTGTTGTGGAGGAAGCTCAACCAGAAGTGACAGTGCTCCCAATGTGGGTTATTGTTCGTAATGTACCCAGATCGATGTTCTCATGGAAAGGGTTAAGCTTCTTAACAAGCCCTTTGGGCGAGCAAAAAAGCTTCACCCGAATACTTTGTGGGCGAAAAACTTTGAGGAGGCAAGGGTTTTTGTAGAGGTGAATTTAAATCAGAAGCTTCCTGAGTGTTTCAGTTTCAAGTCAAAGTCTGGACTTGACACGATGGTGTATTACGAGTATCCTTGGTTACCGCCTAAATGCAGCTCGTGTGCTAAGTGGGGTCATATTTCATCGGATTGCAAGGTGAAGCCGGGTGATATGAAAATTCTTCAAAAGAGCTTCGCCTGCGAAGAAATCAGTTGTGGGGGAGGCAAGGGAAAGTGGTCCAGTGGAAGAGGGAAACTCTCCTGCTCCAAAACGGGTGAGTGATGGTATTGAGAGGAGCTTTGAGTTGATTCTTGCCTCACAAGGCAATTCTGCGGGCGCTACGGGGGAGTCTCCTAAAGGTGTTCGGAAGGATCCTCTGGCTGATGAGCATATGGGAACTCCGGAAGTTCCTGTGGAGAGATGGGAATCAGTAAAAAGTCCAGCAAGAGCCAAAAGAACTTCAGAGCAGCTACCGGTCGTTGATGTTGTGGTGTCTGACTCTCGATTTGCCTCACTATCAGGGGAATACCTCGGGCTAGAGGGTGATGCTGTGGATGAAGATTTCTTGGGTGATTCACTTGAGGAGGAGTCCCAAAACACAACGGAGAATGTGGATTGATCCAGCAGTGAAAAGGGGAGGGAAGTGGGTAACCTGCAGAAGATTCAGGGGTCTTCATCAGCTGATGAGGCATCGCAGGAGGATGAATCGGTCAAATTGATAGCAGGAGGTAGAATCTCCCTCCCGAGAAATTCAAAGACATCGCACAGATATGTTCAGACTGTTATTTCTTCGCCGTCGAGTTCTGGAAAGAAGAAGAAGAGCAATCGGAAAAGGTCATCTAAATCATCTCAATAATGTCTGGATTTTTCTGGAATATTAGAGGGTTTAACAAAAACAGAAAACAAAAGATTGTTAGAGATTGGTGTAGGGAGCATGATTTTCAGTTTGGAGGAATAATAGAGACTCGTATCAAAGAGGGAAATGCAGAGAAAGTAGTGAGAGAAGTTTTTACGGGATGGTCTTTCATGAGCAATTATGAGTATCATCGCTTGGGGAGAATTTGGCTGGTGTGGCCTGATTCGGTGAGGATAACACCGGTGTTTAAAAGTGGTCAAATGATTTCAGTGCTGGTTAAGCTACAGAATGTGGAGGATGAGTTTTTATGCTCATTTGTGTATGCATCTAATTTCATGGAGGAAAAAAGAGAGCTCTGGGCTGATATGCATGGGCATTTCTCTTCTCCAATTTACAAGCGAATGCGGTGGATGGTGATGGGTGATTTTAATGAAATATTAGCCATAGATGAGCATTCATCTCAAGGAAGGGGTCAGTTTGCAACAGTGGGGATGGAGGATTTTCGGAAGATAGTAAGGGATGGAGATTTGAGTGATTTGGGATTCCATGGGCCTCGTCTCACGTGGTGCAACAAGAGAGAGGACGGTTTGATTTGCAAGAAACTTGACAGATTGCTTGTGAATGGTTTGTGGCTAGATAATAATGCGACAGCTTACTGTGTCTTTGAGGCGGGTGGATGCTCGGACCATCTCAGGTGTCGTTTCCATTTAGATGGTGAAGCTGTGAGACCGAAACGGCCTTTCAAATTCACGAATGTTGTGGCCAAGTTGCCAGCATTCAAGGAAGCTCTGACGAACTACTGGGCGCACACAACACCTTTGTTCCCATCTACTTCTGCTCTGTTTCGATTTTCTAAGAAGCTGAAGAACCTAAAACCTATTGTAAGACAGATCTCGAGAGATTCATTACAGGATATATCTAAGCGAGTCAAAGATAATTTTGGTTTGCTATGTGAGAAGCAGGAGTAGAACTTGCTTCAACCAAGCGTTACGTCTCAGCTTGAAGAAAGTGAAGCTTTTCAGCGGTGGGAGCATTCTGCAAATCTAGAGGAAAGTTATCTTGCCCAGAAATCGAAACTCAATTGGTTAAATGTGGGGGATAGGAACAATGCGGTATTCCATCGTGCAGTAAAAGTCAGAGCTCAGAGGAATGGTATCAGAGAGTTATATAGGCAAGATGGGTCTCGGATAACTCGGAGTGCGGAGATTAAAGACGAGGCAGTCAACCATTTTAATGAGTTTCTGAATCATCGACCAGGGTTATTTGATGCTATTAAAGATCTCATCCCATTTCGATGCTCGCTGGAGGAGAAACGAAGGTTAACGCTGGAAGTATCGGAAGAGGAGATTAAAGGAGCTCTCTTTGCGATGCCGGCGAATAAATCACCTGGTCCGGATGGTTACACGGTTAAGTTTTTTAAAGAGTGCTGGCCTGTCATAGGAAAGGATCTAGTGGCTGGTATTCAGTTTTTCTTCGCTAAGGGCTTCCTTCCGAAAGGTATCAACTCAACAATTCTTGCTTTGATACCCAAAAAAGAGGAAGCTGTCTATATGAGGGACTATCGCCCCATTGCTTGTTGTAATGTGGTGTACAAGCTAATCTCGAAAATTCTGGCAAACAGATTGAAAAAAATTCTTCCCAGCTGTATTGCCCCGAATCAATCAGCTTTTGTCCAGGAACGACTTCTTATCGAGAATCTGTTGCTAGCCTCTGAACTAGTGTCGGGTTATCATAACAGTTTGATTTCTGCTCGTTGTGCGTTAAAGATCGATATATCAAAGGCTTTTGAATCGGTTGAATGGAGCTTTCTGTTAACTGTTCTGGAAGCATTGGATCTGCCATCGGTTTTTATTAACTGGATTCGACTGTGTATCACGACTGCATTTTTCTCAGTTCAAGTGAATGGTGAATTGGCGGGCTATTTTGGTAGTTCAAGGGGATTACGTCAGGGCTGCTCTTTGTCCCCTTATCTGTTTGTTATCTGTATCAATGTCCTCTCACATATGCTCGATAAAGCTGCTGTGGAAAAGAAATTTGGGTATCATCTGAGGTGTGCAAATACCGGTCTTACGCATCTAGGGTTTGCTGATGATATCATGATTTTTACCGATGGGAAACTTGCTTCTGTGGAGGGAATACTCGATGTTTTTGAGAGCTTTGCAAAGATATCAGGTCTGCGCATCAGTTTGGAAAAATCGACAGCTTATCTAGCTGGGGTAGCGGATACAGTCCGCCATGAGATCAACCAGAGGTTTCATATTGAGATTGGGACTTTACCAGTTCGGTACTTAGGGTTGCCGCTCCTTACGAAACAGATGAGAACGCTTGACTACTCGACTTTGCTTGACAGGATAAAGCTTAGAATTGGATCATGGACTGCTCGAAATCTCTCCTTTGCTGGTAGACTTCAGCTTATTGCGAGTCTTGTCAATTTTTGGATGTCTGCCTTTCGACTTCCAAAAGGCTGTATCGACAAAATTGACAGCATCTGCTCGAGTTTTCTATGGTCTGGGCCAGAGCTTAGTTCGAGGAAAGCCAAAATATCTTGGACGGAGGTCTGTAAGCCTAAGCGAGAAGGGGGACTAGGACTAAAGAATCTCACTGTTGCAAATGAAACATGTGTGCTGAAGCTCCTTTGGAGGATCCTAACGGTCAAAAAATCGATATGGGTGCGATGGGTTACTGTAAACCTGATTCGAGGTGAATCGATTTGGTTAGCGCCAAATCCAACAAACCAATCGTCTGGCTCTTGGATGTGGAAGCATATCCTCCAAAGTCGGCCATTAGCAAAGACATTTCTAAAGGTGAATGTCAAAAATGGGAAATCTGCGATGTTCTGGTATGACAACTGGTCGCAAATGGGGAATCTTATTTCAACATTTGGAGCTCGGGGTTGTGTTGATCTAGGTATTTCCCATCTTTCGACCATGGAGGAGGTTTTTCTAACACATCGGCGTCGTCGCCACCGCACGCCTGCACTCAGTAGAGTGGAGGATGAGATTGAGGCAGCGAAACAGAGATACATGGAAACAGAGGAAGATGTTTATCTTTGGAAAGCATCGGACGATCTGTATACACCTGTTTTAACACTACAAGCACCAGAAATCAGCTGATGCAACAATCGCCAAAGGTTCCCTGGGCTTCGGGTATTTGGTTTCAGCACCACACCCCGAAGTTCAGTTTTATTGCCTGGCTAGCTGCTCATGATCGCCTGTCGACTGGTGATCGCATGGCCTCGTGGAATCTAGACATCCCACGGAACTATGTTTTCTGCAATGCTCTGCTCGAAACCAGAAATCACCTGTTTTTTAGATGCCCGTATTCAAAGAGAATATGGTACACTCTAGCCAAAGGAGTTATGCAGCAATATTACTCTCAGAATTGGGCGATTTTAATTAATCGAATCTCGAATCCTGGGCGTGGCAAGGTGGATTCGTTCATCATCAGATACCTCTTCCAACTTACACTTTATGCAATTTGGAGAGAGAGAAATGCGCGCAGACATGGCAAAACCCCTAAAACATGGACTACAATGGTCAAGCTCATTGACATAGGAGTAAGAAACAGATTCAGCTCTATTGGTTGGTTGGGTGATGCAAGATACAGTGAGGGACTGCAGCGGTGGTTCTCATCTCAGGTGGATGCGGGATACTCACTAAGTGGCTTTTAGAAAAATGCTTTGTTTTTATTCTTTGATTTTTCTTTGACTGTTAAATGCTCGCATCTCACGATGTAGGAAAGCTTTTTTTTTTTGGTCTGAATAAAAATTTAACATTCATTCAAAAAAAAAAAGAATTTCAACATCTCTGGTTGTTATATTCGTGACACTAGCTATATTTTTTTAGCTATTTATGATATTTTAATGCTATTTTTTTTCTTTCTAAACTAGTAGGCAAAAAACTTAGCGTTCCACGTTAGAAACTAAAATTCAACTTAAAGTTAATCAATGGCCAAAAAATGAAATTATATTAGATAAATCTACATGTGAAAACCTTATATTGCACAGTAGCACATAACAGAGAGAGTCAGCACCTAACCTAGTCCATATATGTAACAACTAAAAAGTTCAAAACTCTCAAGACTCAAATGAAGATATGATTTGTAAAATATGGTTAGTAAATTACCAGCTATAATTCTATCTAAGAGCATATATATCAGTAAACTCCTCTCTTAAAGGTTCATCAGAATATAGTAATATTTTTTTTGGCTTTATTTTTTTTTCTTTTTTATTATTCGAAATTATTTTTTTTGACCAATGAGAATGTGACACGTGTGGAATAAACCATCTCTTCAGGCTCATCGGGAAGAGACTAAGCCATGAACTCCTGTTTTTTTTTTGTTTTTTTTTTGTGTTGTCTTAAAAACCAGGCCATAAACCTCTGATGGACATAGTCTAAACCGAATCTTTTTTAAAAAAATTTACAACAGACGGTAAATTCTTACATAGTAAATACTAGATTTTAACCAATTCATATTCTCATCTGAACATAAACGGGAAATACAAAAATGGTAGGGAGAAAATATATATCCAAGACTCGACTATATATACTAAATTCTTACATAGTAAATACTAGATTTTAACCAATTCATATTCTCATCTCAACATAAACGGGAAATACAAAAATGGTCGGGAGAAAATATACATCCAAGACTCGACTATATATAATATATGGTCCCATTTAGAGAAATAGGTTATCGAAAAACAAAAGATAACTCACTAAACACCATCGGGCGAAGATATATATGAAGGCCCATTACTCTTATATTGGGCCTTTTCATCAGATATTATAGACTTTCATTTTTTGTTTTTACAAATGTTTAGAGAAAGTGGACCACCTACACACATTTTTCAAGGATTCTTCCATTATTTCTGGGGTTTGTTTATACTGTATCATTCTAAAAAGGACCAATCTTGCCACGTACGCAAAATCTTACCCACAGAAAAAAAAAATGTCTTGTCTATCGATAGAGGAAAATTCCAACTTTGCAATGACTTTAAAGTGCCGTTACTACCCAATAACCAAACATTTGACCACATTTCGTTACGTTTAAAAGCTCCCATCCCACAGATTCTACGCTCTTCGTCACCTTTTAGTCACACTGACCAGAATAACTTATTTCTCTCTCACCCTATGGAACCAATTGCATCTCAGCCAGTCGAATTACGCCACGTGGTGGCCATGCCTTGGCCTGGTAGAGGCCACATCAACCCCATCATGAACCTCTGCAAACGCCTCGTCCGCCGATACTCAAACCTCATCGTCACGTTCGTCGTCACCGAAGAATGGCTCGGCTTCATCGGAACCGACCCGAAACCGGACCGGATCCGTTTCGCTACTCTCCCCAATCTCATCCCTTCCGAGCTCGTCCGGGCCAACGACTTTCCCGGCTTCGTCGACGCCGTCCACACAAGATTGGAGGAGCCGTTCGAACGGCTGCTTGACCGCCTCGATTCTCCGCCTCCGACCGCAATTATCGCCGACACTTACGTCTTATGGGCGGTTCCTGTCGGAGAACGAAAGAATATTCCGGTGGTTTCTTTCTGGACTATGTCGGCAACGATTCTCTCCCTCTTCATTCACTCCGATCTACTCATAAGTCACGGCCATGCTCTGTTCGAACCATCAGGTACATAAAGTTTCAATTTTTTTTTTTCAAATAGCAAAATCTCACCTTTTAAGTGAAGTTAATAACTTTAAACTGTAATTGACTATTATTGAATTTTGGGTGATTGTTCTAGAATCAAAAGAAGACGAAATCGTAGACTACATCCCTGGTTTATCTCCGACGAAAGTCCGGGATCTTCCGCCATTATTCGACAGCTACAACCTCAGAGTTTTCAAGAAAGCCAAGTTGTGTTTCGATACGATCCCGAGAGCTAAGTGCCTTCTCTTCACCACCGCATATGAGCTTGAACCTAAAGCCATTGACTTTTTCACTTCCAAGCTCAATATCCCGGTTTACGCCACTGGTCCGTTAATACCTTTCGAAGAACTCTCCGTTGGAAATGACGTTACCGAGCCCGATTACATCAAGTGGCTTGATGGGCAACCGGAAAGTTCTGTGCTTTACATATCTCAGGGGAGTTTTCTCTCTGTCTCTGAAGCTCAAATGGAGGAGATAGTGAAAGGAGTTAGAGAGAGCGGAGTCAGGTTCATTTGGGTGGCGCGTGGGAGCGAGAAGAAGATGAAGGAGGCTCTAAAAGGTAGCTCCGGTGTAGTGGTGAGCTGGTGCGATCAGCTGCGAGTTCTGTGCCACAAAGCTGTAGGTGGGTTTTGGACTCATTGCGGGTTTAACTCGACATTGGAAGGTATATATTCGGGTGTACCGATGCTAGCGTTTCCTTTGTTTTGGGATCAGATTCTGAATGCGAAGATGATTGTTGAAGAGTGGAGAGTTGGGATGAGGATAGAGAGGAGGAAGAAGACGGAGTTGTTGATTGTGAGAGACGAGATCAAGGAAGTAGTGAAGAGGTTGATGGATAGAGAGAGTGAAGAAGGGAAGGAGATTAGAACAAGGGTTTGTGATCTTAGTGAGATATGTCGAGGAGCTGTTGAAGGAAGCGGTTTGTCTAATGCTAACATTGATGCTTTCGTTAGGGATATTAGCAATATGAATTAAGGCTCATTAATGGAGAGCTTTGTTGTTACAATGAATGTTTTTTTTTTTCTTCTTATGTTAAATTGACATTAGACGTATGCTATACTGTTATAGCAGTAATTAAGCAGTATCTAGGATGGTTAAAAGATTCTCCACATTCACAATTTATAAGTTATAGTAAATTAGTTCAGTATATGAAACTAAGATCTTTTAAAGCAGACACAAATGAATCCATCTAATCGACCATAACAACGACAAAAGAAAAGATAGAACATAGAAGCAAACTTGAAGTAAACATCACAAATACACGGCCATTTAAATCACATAAGAACTATTTTATTGGCTAATGATAATACAATGTGGTGTCATTATGTCAACATACATGTTGTCGAGTCTAATGAAAAATGTTTTAGCACAAGAAAGGTGATGGTAGGTTAGCTACACCTAAATAAAAGCAAAATACAACATTTTGTGAAATTATTTTGGGCATGACTTGGTATGTGACATGAATAATACAATAACGAGATAACTAAATAATTGTTAGTGGAAATAGCTAAAGTGCTTTTTTTTTAAAAGACTTTTTCTAGAATTAACCGCTCAGGCCCTCTTCCCCAAACTTCCCCGAAATGTTTGAATTTTGCATTTGACATTCAACATCTACTTTCTCCTTCCCAAAATAGCTATGTTCTCTTCCAATCCGCCGAACCTACGCCGGCCTCCACCGGGTCTCAGGCCCCAATGCTCGTCAAAATCTCTTTCTCCAAGGTTGAGAAAGTAAAATAACCTGAAACAAGAAAGTTTCTTATGAGCTGACCTTAGCTAAGACTTAGAAAGATAGCTATATTCAGCTCTATTCTTGCGTGCAACCTCAAGGAATCCTCTGCACCTGTAAAAACCAAAAGCCCTGGGCTCAAGACGAAAAGATCTCTCAATCAATCTTACCTCAAGTTCACGAGTATACCGAAGACTTCTCCCTCGAGGGATGCTTTTGAGATTCTATAAGTCATATTTCTGCCTCTAGCCTTGTGCTAAGTCGTATCTCATCAGCTACATTCTCAAACCAGAATCTCTTTCTCAACACTCAGATCTATTAACCATGGAGAACACAAAGAATCTCGCTAACAGGAATCACGAAGAAGATGAAGAAGAGATCATCGACTTACCTCACGTGGACAACTCTCAACTCATTGCCCGTTTCAACCTAAGTCTGGTTGGACGCATGTTCAACCAAGATATCCGTAGCACAGAAGCCCTCATCGCCTTCATGCCTCGACAGAACATCTGGGACGTCAAAGGCAGGGTGCACGGGATAGACCTTGGAAACTCTCGATTCCAGTTCGACTTCGACTCAGAAGCGGATCTCCAGCGGGTGCTCAGCAAACGCCCCTGTCATTTTAATCGCTGGTCTTTCTCCTTGGAACGCTGGATCCCTCATGTTTGGGAGTCTTTTCCCAACAATATGACCTTCTGGGTGCGAATCTCAGGGATCCCTACTCACTTCTGGATGGAAGAAAATTTCCGAGCCATTGGAAATCGTCTTGGGGATGTAAGAGCGGTTGATGCACGAGCTGCAAGGATCCAGATTTCTTTGAATGCAGATGAGCCTCTGAGATTCAATGCAAGGGCAAGGCTTCAATCTGGAGAAGTGGTTAGAGTAGAGATGAAGTATAAAAAACTCGATCGATGGTGTCTCACCTGCAGACACATCTCTCACGACGAGAGAACTTGCCTTTTGCTCACTGAAGATCAAAGACGTGAGAAGATGAGGGAAAGAGAGGCTGAGAGGAACTTAGCTCGAGCATCGAGAGATGACCTGATTCGCGACAGAGACGTCTTGCAAATGAGAAGACAGGCAGGCCAGATCTCGTTACCTCTCCGTGACAGAACCACCCTCCCTTTGCAGGATGAAACCCGCAAGCTCTCGACAAAGGCCAAAGATGAAAGCTCCAAACCTCCGAAGGATAAGAAAAGAAATCAAATCCTCGATGAAAGGCGCCCTTCTGACAGAAGACCCGATAGCGTCTGGAACAGAATCGAATCAAGCGCTGGTTACCGAACTGAAGCAAGAAGGTATGAAAGAAAACATGAAACTGCAGATGGAAGCCACCCGAATGCCAGAGATGACTCAAGAGATGAGGAACCTGGATACCGAAAGCGACGATACGAAGAATCCTTCGCAGCAAGCAAGAAACAGATGGGGAAGAACAAACCAAAAGACCTACCTGGGAAGGATCTTTCCTCTGCTAAACCTTCACTGGCGAGACTCTCAGCAATGCCAACCAAGTCTTCTGACTCTCAGAGGACTATCTCGGATCCTCCAGCCAAAGCTAAACAGGGTGTCTCTTCCCCGGAGCACATGCATAGCAGACCATTCCACCTCTCCCTTACCAGTAAGACATCAAATCTGGGGAAAGGGAAGATGTATGAAACCGGTGAAACTTCAGAAGCAGGCAGTTCAGCAAAAAAAGCTCTCACTTTTGAGCCTGTGATCCCAATTGAATCAAACTCCATTCTAGGCGAACCCAAGCTGAGCAATGCGATGATTCTACCTCCGTTGGAACCTTGTCTCCATGAAAATTGGTATGAACAGACTCTGGAGGAAGATAGAGAAGACATAAATCTTACCACATCAAAACCAATCGACGAACAGCTCGAATTCCCGATGGAAGTGGTCATGGAGTCAGGCGGAGACTTAAGGACCTTCCACAATAACCAGGAGAACGAGTTGCTGGAGGATGAGCTTATGGAGGATCCAGCTTTGCTTAATAACAATGAAACAATTGAAGGCATCGATGAGGAAGACGAATGGATGAACGACGATGATCTCTTCGATGAAGGGGAACTGGACGAACTTCTGAAAGATGCTGACAGCCCTGCAAAGGATCAAAATGGAGAAGACCAGGAGATGATCAATGAGCTCGCGATCCCAGAGGCGAATCCGCCGAAGTTCAAAGCTGCTTCCTGGTTTAGATCCCCCGAAAACGCTGATGTAGGGAAGAAACAGGCGGCGGAAACTGATAAGAGCACCAGGGTGACCGGAAAAAAGAAACCGGCGCCGAGATCGCCGGCGGCTCGCGGTTTGTCCCTGAAGAAGAGGAATTTCCCTCTGGGTCGTGTCTCTCCAAAGACTAAGGGGAAAGGAAAATTCCCAAAAACAGGTCTAGGCCCATATGCAGATCAAGAAGAAAGCCCAAGGGAGATAAGAGTTCTAAGGCCCAGAAGAAAAAACAGAACTCTGTAACCGGGGGGGAGGAAACCCAGAAACCGGTTAAACATAACCCATGAACGTGATAGGCTGGAATTGTCAGGGGGCGGGAGCCGACCTGACGAAGGATCACCTAGAAGAATTGCACCACTGTTTTTCTCCTCGTTTTTTATTCTTATCAGAAACTAAAAACAATCGGCTTTTTATTCAAGATATGCAAATACATTTTGGCTATGACCAAGTCTGTACCATTGAACCGAGAGGTCGTAGCGGCGGTCTAGCCCTTTTTTATATGGATGAACCTTTAGTTGCTATCTCCTATTCGGATGAACATCTCATTGATGTAGAAACCAGTCTAGACGGACATAAAATTTTTTTAACGTTCGTTTACGGAGATCCGGTCATCAAAAACCGAGAATACGTATGGGAACGACTCACCCGAATGAGTCTTTCCAGAAAAGAAGCCTGGTTTATGATTGGGGACTTCAATGAAATCTACGGAAACAATGAGAATCGGGGAGGAAGACGAAGACCGGAATACTCGTTTATTCCTTTCTGAACTATGCTAGACAACTGTGGGATGCTCAAATTCTCGTTTAAAGGAAATTCCTTCTCATGGGTTGGAAGAAGACGTAACGGAAAGATCAAGTGTCGTCTGGATAGAGCGGTGGGGAATGGAGAATGGCAATCTGCCTTCCCCCATACCTCGGTGGAATACCTTAAATTATGGGGTTCAGATCACCGTCCTGTATTGGCCCGCATCCAAGTGGACAATCGAAGAAAGAGGAAGTCTTTTAGATTTGATAAAGATGGTTGGGAAAACCAGGATTCAAAGAGGCGGTAATCTCCGGCTGGGGCTCTTTGGATGGAATCCCACGTCGGGATTTCCATCGTAAAGTAGCAAACTGCCGGATCAGTATCTCTAGGTGGAGAAAGTCCCAATTTTCTAATTCCGAGAAGATGATAGAGGAACTCAAAAACAAATTGGATGCAGCCCAAGACGACGAAAACTCTACACTAGAAGAAGTTAAAGAGATTAGAAGAAACCTTTGTATTGCTCTTCGGGAGGAAGAAACATTCTGGAAACAGAAGAGCCGTGAACAATGGCAAAAATCCGGGGATAGAAACACAAATTTTTTTCATGCGCTCACAAAACAAAGGAGAAGCCAAAATCGAATCGTCGCTTTGAGGGATAAAAATGGGAATTGGGTAGAAAATTCACGAGGTATTGAACGAGTAGCCTCCCATTACTTCCAAGATCTGTTCACCTCGTCACAACCCCCGGAACCAGATAATGCTCTCCGGTTTATCACCAAGAAAGTATCGGAGGCGTCTAACCAGCGCCTCATTCAAGAACCCACAGAAGCCGAAATTAAAGAAGCGCTTTTCGATATCAATCCTGATAAAGCCCCGGGACCCGATGGAATGACGAGCAAGTTTTACCAAAGATTCTGGCAGGAGTTCCGCCACGACATTGTAAAATTAGTAAAAGATTTCTTCATAGCAGGATCTTTTGATCCCAGACTAAATCAGACCAACATCTGCCTGATCCCCAAGAAAGAAAAACCTAGAGCTATGACAGAATTTTGTCCGATAAGTCTATGCAACGTGAGCTATAAGATTATCTCAAAGCTCATGTGTAAAAGACTTAAAAAAACACTACCTAACCTAATTTCAGAGACCCAATCGGCCTTTATGGCTAGGAGGCTTATCACTGATAACATTCTGTTAGCCCAAGAGAATTTCCATGCCCTTCGCAGTAACCCGGTTTGCCGAAAAAACTTTATGGCCATCAAGACCGACATGAGCAAAGCATACGACAGAGTGGAATGGTGCTTCATTAAAGCCTTAATGATTAAATTGGGCTTCTCTGAGAGATGGGTTAACCTTCTGATGTTCTGTGTTTCATCAGTATCCTACCAAGTGTTGATAAACGGAGAACCAAGAGGGCATATCACTCCGACACGAGGGTTAAGACAAGGAGATCCTCTCTCTCCTTTCTTATTTATCCTTTGTACCGAGGCCCTGATCTCTCTCCTAAATGGAGCAGAAAGGGAAAACCGAATCTCTGGACTAAAAATAGCCAAGCAAGCCCTCCAGTCTCTTATCTACTCTTCGCAGATGATAGTTTGTTCTTTTGCCGCGCATATATCCAATAAGGAACCGAGATCTTCAAGATCATCAGCACATATGGCTCAGCCTCGGGACAACAACTAAACTTAGGCAAATCATATATTATGTTTGGGAACCGAGTTGATATGACATTGAAGCAAGGCATAAAAGATGCTATTGGAATAACAACAGAGGGAGGCATGGGCATGTATCTGGGGCTCCCAGAACAAATTTGTGGATCAAAGAAGAAAGTCTTCTCTTACGTCCATGATCGACTTAGTACCAGAGTGAACTCCTGGTCTGCAAGACTTCTCTCCAAAGGTGGAAAAGAAATTCAGATTAAATCGGTTGCCCAGACTGTCCCTACGTATGTTATGTAATGCTTCCTTATTCCCCAATGTGTGACCGATAAGTTACGGAGTGTCATTGCTAATTTCTGGTGGAGCTCAAAGCAGAATAGCAAAGGGATTCACTGGATAGCTTGGGACAAGATATGCATTCCCCAAGATATGGGAGGTCTAGGTTTCCGAGACCTTCAAGATTTCAATTTAGCCCTTCTAGCTAAACAGCTATGGCGCCTTATTCAATACCCCTCGTCTCTACTGGCCAGGGTTTTACGAGGACGATACTACAGAGAATCGGATCCGTTAGAGGATCGTCGCGTCTACTCCCCATCCTATGGGTGGCGGAGCATTTTAGCTGCAAAACCATATCTAATGATGGGACTGCGGAAAACAATAGGGTCGGGTTTAAATACAAGGGTCTGGAGCGAACCATGGATCCCGGATACTAGAGCTTGACCGGTGAGAGCCACCCCGCAAATCGGCTATCAGGACCCGGGGTTACTTGTTTACTCCTTCATCCGATAAGATACAAAGGAGTGGGATGTTCCTCTTCTTAGGGTTTTCTTCCAACCAGAGGATGTTTCCCTGATTCTAGGAATGAGACCTAGTCGCAACCGTTGCCCGGATGGATACGCAAGGAACCATTCAAAATCAGGACTCTATTCGGTTAAGACGGGCTATGACCTGATTAGGAGGTCAAAATTACAACGGGAACCTAATATGGTGGGGGAACCGAGCATTACGGTATTGCAAAGACAGGTGGAAAACCAGCTGCCCCGGCAAAATGAAGCATTTCATGTGGCAATCTTTGTCAGGATATGTGGCTACATGTCATAATCTAACATACCGACATCTTGGATCTGACACGAGCTGTCCCCGATGTGGCGATCCCGTAGAATCTACAAATCACCTCCTATTTTTATGTCCCCCGACACTTCAAGTCTGAGCGTTATCGGACTTTCCGTCCCGTCCGGGCCTCTTCCCGAGTACTTCTATTTACCAAAATATGAGCTTTCTCTTTTGGCAAACAAAAGAGTTAGGCATGACGGATCCTCAGAAGGATTTATACCCTTGGATCCTATGGTTCATTTGGAAAGCAAGGAACGAAAAAATCTTTAACGGGAAATCAATTTCCCCACAAGATACCCTGATCCACGCAAGGGTAGAATCTGAGAGCTAGAGAATGGCGAACCAACCAGAGGAAGCAAAGGAAGCAGAGGTCTCCTCTCGTCCCCAAATACCTTCCCCCGCGAACCAACGGGTCCCAACATGTTGGATCGATGCCTCGTGGATTGATCACGGACCTGTCAGTGGACTCGGGTGGAGCCTGGTGAACGCTGGGGAAGAGGAGCTGTTTGGTCAACAAGGATGCCGCAGAAGCCTTTCCGTCCTTCATGCGGAGATGGATTGTCTTTTGTGGGCTATGGCAGCCCTGAGTCAACGACACATAAGAGCGGTGCTTTTTCTGACCGACTGTTCTGATCTAGTGAGTATGACGGATTCCCCAGCTGATTGGCCGTCTTTTACGTCCGAGCTAGAAAATCTACGTATCCTTCGTGAGAACTTCTCATAGTTTTCCATCTCCCATATCCCGATGAATGATAATGTCCGGGCAGATAGTCTTGCAAAAGGAGCCCGAGCAAAAGGACAAATATTCACCCACATCGATCATAACGAGTCGGTTAAGGACGGTGCACAAAACCACCTCCAAGCCGGCCAACTGTGATGTAATAGTTTGGGTAGTCGACAAAAAAAAAAAAAGCTAAAGTGCTTTTTTGTTTTGTAGCAAAAGTGCTAAACTATAAGTTTTTGTATATCAGTTATAAATTTTTGGAGAGCTAGTTTAGAGCAGCTCCAACAATGAGCTCTACAAGAGCTCTTACGAGTTTTTGAGTTAAAAAAAATGTTTTAATGTCAAAAATGTTCAGAACCGTCACTTATTTGAGAGTTTTCAGAATCCCATCAGAACCCCATCCGTGTCAGCTCGTGATTGGTTGGCGTTTTTATATTTTTTTTGTTTTTTTAATTAGAAGACTGTTTGAATTAGAGTCTTTCTCTTTTTTTTTTATATCCATTTTCTCCTTCTGATTTGTCTCAACTTGGTTCTTCAGTGATGTATACTCAAACAGAGAAAACACAAACCTACTCTCTCTAACAGAGAAACATAAAAGGTTCTTTAGAGCATCCTCAATGCAGAGACCCTTATGGGATTTTTTTAATATTATTATTGGATTAAAAATTTAGTTAAGAAACTATTGAATTTATAAGGTCCAATGCAGAGACCCATATGGGTTTTAAAAAAAAAAAAACAATCTGTCACCGAGTTGACCACGTTAACGAGCAGACTCTTGATCTTCATAGCAGAAATTGGTTTAGACAAAAGTGTGTTTAAACTTTAAAGCAAAGAACATTGGGGAGTTGAAACATTTGATAATAATACCACATTAATATCATTCCAAACGATTATTCAAAGAACATGACACCATGATATAACTTAATGAAAAATACGTACAAAAAAAAAGAGAGAGACAGAGATGTTACATGTAGAGCTATGTCATGAGAATGATATCGATCAACAAGAATTTGGTGTGAATCTTCCGGATTCAAATAGCAGAAGTTTATAGATATGTACCAGAAAATAAGGCAGAGTGATGATGTTGGTGACGAGAAGCCATTGAACACCATAGCCAACAAAGCCCATACCCGCCGCCGTGAAAAGAACGACGGAGAGAGGGAGATAATCTAGAGCGATCCCAACGACCACCCGAACGCTTTTCCCAATTCGGAAGCCACGGCAAGGTAATTCAACCTGACCTGACAAATCCCGAGTACTGATTTGAGATGGGAGGAGTAAGCTGAGAAATTGAAATTAGTCCTTGTTGATGCCTGGATCCAGATTGCCGCCACGAGCACAGTCCATTTCCGCCAGCGACAGAACATGGTCACGAGAGGCGGCCTGACAGAGAAAACAAGGAGGGAAGACCGAAAAAATCTGCAATGGAAAAAAAGAGAAGGAAAAAGATTTGTCCCCATATTCTTTAGCAAATAAAAAAGAGACATGTGGATGAAGAGATGAGGAAGAGACGTCTCCAAATAAGAAACGTATATGAGAATAAAGAGACCCAGTCCAGTTTTTTTAATATTAAGTTTCTTTAGAAACGCTCTTATATACCTCGTTAATGATGTTCTTAGCTATAATTAGAGCAGCTTCAATGGTGATATCTTTTTGGGGTTCATCTGGAATTTTTTATTCATTTAATTTGGAAAAATGAAAAATTTAGAACCCAACAAATTTTTATGTTCAATGGTGATTCCCAAATTTTTTTCTGTTTACCGCAAAGCTCCAAAACGCACAGCTTCATTTTTTTTCTTTTCATCCAATTAGAAGCTGCCACGTTGCGACAAACCCAGGTTCATCAGCCTTTTAAGAGACAAGATCATCGAATTTATGGGCTTTTACAATTTTTTTTGTGGTTTTTACCTATGAATTTGAGCCATGGTATCCTCTTGAACCTCCATTGGAGGTGCTCTTACAGCCAACACGATTCATCCTCAAATTGATCCTTTTTACGGTGAGCAATTGAGAATACAGAGATATGTAATATTACCTAAACTCCTTTGACTTGTATCTGCTGACTCATAGAAATGGAAAAAAAACATTCAAGAAAAAAAGAGAAACCGAGAACACCCGAAACCGAGAACATTTCGTGTCTAATTCAATCATTCTAACCACCAATCACAAACAACAACAAAGCCAAAAGCAAACAAACAAGGCTTGATTCTCGGACAACCTAATAGGTTCAACGATATCAATGCATCAACAGAGGCAAAAGTAAGGGTTTAGATTAATGGTACCTCTTTAATAGACTCTTCCTATGCTCGATCGATGACCAATTGGCTTTTGTTTTTAAAGCCACAACACCGACGGAGAGGAGTCGCCGCCGCTTTGGACTACTGCAGAGAAGTTGCCGCCGCCTCGGATGATTGGAGCGGAGTCGCCGCCGCCTCGGACGCATGGAAAGGACTCGACGCCGAAGCTTTTGTTGGAGACGAGTCGCAGTTCCTTGGAATCGTCGATATCTTTACTTGCTTAGAAGTTAGAAGTGTTAGTTAGAGCATCATTATCCCTGTATACCATATAGGTTTCTTAGTTAATTTTTAATTAATAAATTTAGGTTAAGAACCTTTCTTAAAAAATTATGTTTTTTATGCTTTAACGGTAGAAACCTTAATGGGGTTTTGTAATTAGACTTTTTGGAAAGTTTATGGTTATAAGTTGCAGAAAGGGTTTATGGACTATTCCAGCAACCTTTGAAAAAATATGCATCCAAAAGGGAAACAAGAAGCATACCGATTTCATCCTAGCGGCTGTGTTGGCAATATCAAGAGTTTCAGTATCTCGCTTCACTCCATACGTTTTCATCACAGCAGCATCAGAGAATTCACTCAGCGGAATCAGAGCTGAAATGTTTACAACACAAAACCAAGAGTAACTGGAAAAACAACAATTAACGTTGACCAAGAAGAAGCAATAGGCTTTATCATGTTCCAGAGAAATGAAGAAAGAGTTCATAAAAACACAATCAAATAATAGCTACTGAAACAGATTCTTTCGAATCTTAATCAAGCAATTGTAGGTTTAACAGAAAAAAAAACAGGGTAAGATAAGAAGCAGACACTAAATCCTTCAAAAAGATCAATCAATCATCGATCTCTAAACAAATTCAGGAGAGAAATCGAACCAGTATCAAAAAATCAAAACAATTTAGAAGCCTCCATACTCTTTGGTGGAGTAGCGGAAGATTAGTAACCTAGGGACTAAGAGAACTTGAGGAGAACTCTGGATGAAATAAGGTTTTGTTCTATTCGAGACAGAGATCGAACAAAACAGAGGTCGAGAGTGCTCCTCTCAGCGCTAAGCAAGGCAAAGCTCTTTGGGAAATTTAGATTTCCTCTTTTTGGTTTTTTTATTGATTTTCTTAGAAGCAAAACGTGAATCAAAAACAAAGACTCGACTACCTTATATAGCTGCTAACAAAGCCCTAAGCCATAGGAATTCCTAAACAAAAAGGAAAAGTGCTTAAACCGTCAAAGAAATAAAAAGGAAAAAACACAACTTGAAAGACACGTAAACAACAAAGCCAAAAGACGTAAGAAACTTCTAAACAGATAAGGATGCTCTGCATCAGGTCCCCTGGGTAGAAGAGGATTCGCCCTCGAATCTGGAATGTCATTTTCACCATGATACCGAAATATGTGCTTAACATTAAACACATCAGCCGTGCGAATGTCTGGTGGAAGACGGACACGATATGCATTAGCGTTAATGCGTTCAACAATCTCAAGAGGGCCAAGCTTCCGAGAACGCAGCTTGTTGTACTCACGAGCTGGAAATCGTTCCTTCGTTAAAATGACCCACACCATATCACCTGGTTGAAACTCGACTTCCCGACGATGTGTGTCTGCTTGTGCTTTGTAAGATGCTGTCGCCGATTGCAAATTTTGTTGAGTTTCCTGATGAATGGTTTGAACATTTTCCACAAAATCAATTGCCTGACCATGAAGACGAACGCGATCTGGAAGTGGCGCAAGATCTAGTGGACATCGCGGAATTACGCCATAAACAACCTTGAACGGACAAAACCCAGAACTCCGATTACTAGCGTGATTGTGAGCAAACTCGGCGAGACAAAGCTTGCTGTCCCATGATTTGAGATTTTTGCCGACCAAACTGCGAAGCATGTTTCCTAAAGCTCTGTTAGTAACCTCTGTTTGCCATCGGTTTGAGGATGATATGCGATACTCATATCCAGACTAGTGTGGAGCAGCTTCCACACAGAACGCCAAAAGTGACTTAGAAAACGTGTATCCCTGTCTGATACAATGGAAGAGGGCAAGCCATGCAGGCGATATACCTCAGTAAAGAATAAAGAGGCCACTTGAATAGCGTCTGTCGTTTTCTTACAAGGTATAAAATGGGCCATCTTCGAAAAGCGATCCACAACAACAAAGATGGAATCAAAACCTCTTTGAGTACGAGGTAAGCCAAGAATAAAGTCCATGCTGATATCAGTCCATGGCTGAGTCGGAACAGGGAGAGGCAAATATAAACCAGCATTCGAAGCAGAACCTTTAGCTTGCTGGCAAGCCCGACAGCGTTCAACAAATCGCACCACGTCACGCCTTAAGGAAGGCCAAAAATAAGAGGTTGATATCAACTGCAAAGTACGATCCCTCCCAACATGTCCTTCATCATGCAACTCCTTGATAATACGCAGCCGTAAACTGCAATCAGGATACACAACTGATTTTCCTTGAACAAGAAGCAATCTTGGAGAGAAAAATCGGACGTCGTACCACTGTTCACGTCACCAAGAACGCTCGCAAAGTAAGGATCCGAACAATATAGGTCAGCAAAGGAGGAAAACCCAGGCACAGACGTGTGCATAGTCGTCACTAACGCATGACGCCTGTTCAAAGCATCAGCGACTCGATTAAGATTCCCTGCTTGATGTCGAATAGTAAATGTGAATTGCTGTAGAAAGGCAATCCAAGTAGCATGACGAGAGGACA